TTCCGATCTACTAGTATTCATCAAACATCAAGGTTAGAATCCCTAAAAAAAAACATCAAGGTTAGAAATTACATCCATGTACAAGTATGGGTCCTTTATTGTGATGTACTATTAAACCAAAATTGTGTCTGGAGACTAATACCACTTGTGATCTCTTTCCTTTTCTATTGGTTAAGGAATGCTAATAATGAAATAACTGATATAGAGCTGCTAATAGATTTCATGTCCCTCTTGATCTCCATTTTCATTGGCCGTTTTGACTTAGTAGCCATGTTTTTTTCACTTTGATCCATGTACTTTGTTTCTTCTTTCACTACTTTCTTTCGTCTCTATTCTTCGGGGCAACGAGGACTATAAGTATTGGAACCGAAGGCGCGCCATCGTCATCGCCCTCCCTCGTTGAAGCCAGCAAACCTTGTTGTAGTAGATAGTCGGTAAATCGTCTCCCTAAGGCTCTAAAGGACCAGCACACCAGAACAATAATATCACCGCCAAAGAGAAGCGTAGATCGGAATGATCAAATCGGAGGACACATGAACGCAGAAAAAAACCAAGACCGATCCAACCAGATCCACCACCGGAGACACACCTACACACACCCTCCGACAACGCTAGACGGATCGTCGGGACGGAGGCTAGGCGAGGAGAACCTTATTCCATCTTTAGGGAGCCTCCACCGCCTCATCTTCCAGAGCAGGACATAAACCCTAAACAACTAAAAAAATACCTAAAAATGGAGCATGAGCCCTCCCATCGGCAAGGGCTTGGTCCATCACGCCTCCATGTCCCCATATGAGACGAGGCAGATCGGCGGTGGCGCCGCCGCGAGGCGGAGAAACCCTAGCTTGGAGACTCACTCATGGGAGGAAAGGACGAAAACGGGTTCGCATATCTGGTCAAATAACCCTTTAATCTTAATAACTTTCTAAAAACAATAGAAATTTAAACTCATCTAAAATACTAGCAATATAAAATGGTTTGGCTTGCACTTTGAAGTAAATATAAAAAATCAACGTCAACTACCTTCTAGATTTGTTTTTATATAGTTTAGGTGTGGCACTTACAAAAGGTTGTTATTTGCTACGTGGAATGAATATGCTAGTAATAGAGGAGGAAAGATAATACCATTAGACTTGTTTTACACTTCCTCCTTGCATATTAGTTTTATCTCGAGTCAAACTTTTTCTAAACTTTGACCATGTCTATAAAAAAGATTAACATCCACAATACCAAATCATTACCATTACACTTTGTTTGGATGTTGATATTGAGGGCCATGGAATTGAATTGGCCCCAATATCAAATCTGCTTGACTTTGATATTGACATTGAACCCGAATTCTCTTGTTTGGATGTGCACAGAATTGTCACTTGGAATTTGGATGAGAGCCTCAATTCTGAAGCTTGTTTGGATGGTCATCCTCTACATTGGAATTGCTCATTTGTCATATGATGAAAATTGAACTTCCATGTAATGTTTGAAACTAAAATATATGCAATCTGCATTTATTTTTTGAATGACTATATACAAAGAATACAATCTACAATTATAAACAAGATGCACTTACCCAAAAACAACACTTATTTGATAGCAGCACATATACAGCAGCAGCAGCACTTATACATCAGCAGCAACACTTATACATCATCAGCATCACTTATACAGCAGTAGCAGCAGCACATATAGAACAGCAGCAGCACTTATACAGCAGCAGCAACACTTATACAACAGCAGCAGCAGCACTTATACAACAGTAGCAGCAGCACTTACACAGCAGCAACAACAACATTTGTACAACAGCAGTAATACAACAAGAACAGCAGCACTTATAGATCAGCATCATTTAGCTGACAACAAGACATAACATACCAAATTCAAGTCTCATACAATAACATAGGAAATTCAAGTGCGATGAAATGAAGCACATAGTACATGTGTTTTTCATCATTACAATAACATAGTAACTTCAAACTAGTCAAACGTTGTTCTTCTCATTGAGCATCAACAACCATTCCTTCCTAAACTCCATGGGCAACTCCATAAGCGCTTGGAATAAGCATTCACTAAGGATGAGTTTACCATATGCTCGCAACATGTCTGAACGAGCCAAGTCTGGGATCTTTTCAAGCGCGACAATGATTTCAAGAGGAGGAGTAACCTTGGGCTATTCTAGTGGCTCAAGTGACTTCAAAGCATCTTGGAAAGAACCCTTCATGTCTCCAAGCATGCACAAGATAGCATCGCCCGTTCGCTGCCTTTTTGTGGCAATTCTGGAGAGGCTTCGACATCTACTACGTCTAGTTCTGCTGGTTGTGCTTCACTTTCAGCACCTGTCATTGCACCTTCACCGGTTGCATGATCTTTGGAGTATATTGTGCAGATTGCCTCCCAATTCTTCACTTCTTTGTTCTTGTAGCAAGCTGCCTTCACATTAGCCTGGACACACATACAAAGTAAAGCATTAGCCTGCATGTATTAATATGACATAGAGTAAATTAATTAAACATCATGTTTTACCTCGACATATTTGTTCCACACATCATCACTATCCATGAGTAGCTTGTTATTGACCCAATCCCAACCAAATCCACTCCGAGAAAGAATCTTGCTAATCGTAGCATAATGCTTGTCAAAAGTCTTCATCCTTGAACATATTTTATCCTTTTCCTCTTTCTCCTTTTGTTCTCTTCAGTTATGTATGAAATCATGTCTACTTGATCTGATAGTATGGAACTACACAATAATTTAGTTATTAGCCATCAATCATTTATACAGCTTTTCAATCAATAAAACGGAGCATTTTATGAAGCAAACATCACACAATAAATTAGCACATCAAGTTGCAACTATGAAGACCTGCTAGAACAGAATAAAAGATGCACCACAAACATAATTGTTGATTGTAACAGCAATACAGATCTAAAACACCCACAATTTCTAATCTTTGAGAAGACAAACATCTAGACAGATTTAGATCAACATCACACACACCTATGAACATCACATACCTTGAATCGGGCTGCTAAGGAGGATCCATACACCCACCAAGTGACCTGCAAGATGCAGAGAAATTGGGGATCAGAGAAGATTTCTAGGGTTCTAGATGAGGGGGTGAGAAGAAACCATGGGGCCGGTCGAGATAGGGGTTCAAGCAGGGGGGCGAGGGGGGCGCTTGCCACGGTAGGCAAAAGACAGCCCCCGCCGCCGCCG